GTACATGTATACAAATGCTGTTATACTATGGAATTTTTTAAAATTTTCATTAAATAGTTTTAACTTAATATTTGTTTTCATGCACTTAATACATATCATATATTTACAGTTAGATACGATACGTACAACAAAAACAAATATTTTCACAACTATATAAACAATAGTGTATAACGAAATTTGTTCATGCTTTAAGAATCATATTTGATACTATCTATTTTTTATATTTTGAAATAATTTTTAATGTTTGAAGCTGTTTAAAAATTACACTTTTTCATAATCCTTCAAAAGCAGTAGCTACAGTAAACAATGTGTCTCAATTGCTTAAGCAGGAAGATTTTTTAGCAAAATTATTTTTAACTCTGTCGCCCTATGAAAAACTTTAAAGAAAAATGTCATTTATATATATGTTACAATGTGAATATTCAACTGGAAACTCGAAATATTTGTTTTTTATTTATATTCTTCTGTGAATGTTTCTTTATAAAAAGTTTGTTTATACTTACGTTTCACTCTTACCCATGGTGTGAGTTTACAATCCTCCAGTTGAATATTTAGACACTTTTATTAATTAATTGCGTTTAAATACTCAAGTCATAATGTATCTTTCGTAAAATAATACATTGAACTCCAGTCTTAATAACAAGGAATTATACGATATCAAACCCAATTTCATTAGTGTACAATGAATGCATTACTTGGTATCATTTATAATTCACGATCGCTTTGTATTATCATAAATATCTTATTAATTAGGCTTATGCACATTAAAAAGACATTAAAACATTCCATAGTTGTACAATATTATTTTTACTTAAACTTGATCAGACTTAACTGATATTAAGTTAGAACTGTTGGAACTAAAAGAAACTGTAATTTTGAAAAATAAAATATTAATGTAATTAAATGAAATATTGAAAAAGGCAAGTGATAAGTACCGCTGAATCGACTCCAGATGTAAAATAAATATGTATTATTTTAAATTAGTCTCTATTCTCATTTTTTGTTCACCTTCGCAATAAATATTGTTTTCCTCCGTATCAAATAAATATTTTATGACGAAATGCCGTTTTCAATATTTTTTACTTGGTTTTTATTCCATATATTTACTGAAAACAGCAACCCTGATCTCGGTATCAGCAAACGATAATCGTTGTTTGTTCGCCGCTATTAGGTGAAAATAATTTTATATTTTCTGCGCTCCAATGTAAAAGTGCACTTTGACATACAACGCTCCATACATAAGGAATGAAGAACTCCTCTGGCTGTTCCTCTTCTACATATTTGAATTTTAGTTCTGGAAATTTC